CTCACTGCAGCCGCTCACAAAGCGCCCGTGTTGGAGCTGGAGCCTGGGACGGCCGGCGGCTGCCTGTGTGTTTGTTGATGTATTTATAGATAAGGTGTGTTTGTCCCTGGCTGTCCCGTGCCGCAGCCCGCCCTGCTGCTGCAGCTCTCCACAAGTGTTATTTTGAGCTCTGGGTGCGCAGTGGCCAAACGGGCTGCGGGTTTTATTTCCAGAAGTAGCAACAGATTTCTGCACATTGCACATTTGTGACATGTACAGAGAGCACTGATGGCCTGGGGGGGAACTGCCGAGCTGGCTTTTTACAGGGCACTTTCCAGGTGTATACTGTGCTTAAAGCATGCTGATTTGCAATTAGAGTTTTCCACTTAGATAGGTACTTTTATTCATATTTCTGCACGATGAGAATATAACTACATGTGTGGCATACGATATTTTTTGTCAGAGATCCATTGATTTCCAAGGAGACATCAACTGAGCTAAAAGATCAGAGCACGCTCAGGTGGGATGACACGTTCTGAGGCTGATTTTTCAGGTAATTTTTGAAAGGCTCACAATGGAATTCCACGCAACTTTTCGAGGCTTTGAGTTACTCTTCTTAGTTAAATCTAATGGTTAAAACTGAGCACTCTTCCTTTGATGCAGTAATAATTATAATTAGCAACAGTACTTTTCAAGTAGCCAAGTGCGAATTGGAAGGTCAGTACATTTGGAGCCAATACATGTTCTTTCGCTAGTGCATTGTATCTCTCTGGAATTCACTTCTGCAGAAGATTTAAACAAACAGCTTGGCTGGGATAGGAGGAAACCCGTGGCCCATCAGTCTGTGGCCATGTGCAGCCGCAGCCGCGTGGCTCCGCCAGCTCCGTGTAGGTGCTCAGCGCTTCCCTGTGAGGTGACAGGCAGCCATCACCAACAGATGTGCCATAAAACGTGAGCTGTCCCTGCGGGGCCACGCAGGGCTCCTCGCCAGGCTGTGGCAGTGCAGCTGACCGTGTGCTGGCCGTGGGGCCCAGGGAAGCAAAGGCCGGGGAGCCCCTGTGTGGGGCCCAGCGCTGTGCTGGGGGCACTGCAGCTCCCAGGGAGCCCCTGTCCCTCGGTGGGCACTCCCAGCTGCTGGCAGCCCACAAAGCCTTGTGCTACCGAGGCGCAGGAACGTCTCCGAGCTGCCCGGCAGTTCCACAGGCTGTAACTTTTAAACTGTGTTGGATAAAAGCCGAGGGTGGGAAAAGCTCCAGCAAACCCCATGGACAACAGGCTTGTTCTTAGCTCCAGGAAATGGAACCACGTCTGATGGTTTCACTGCTCTGCACCACCAGCAGGGCAGCAAGAAGCCCCATGCAGCCCCGGCTCCCTCGCTCACTGCCCCTTTGCAGATGTAGTGAAGGAATTGCTCGGCCTCTCTCCTCCCATCCTTGGGTCGGCCTGCGAGCTTTTTGTCTTGCCTGCAGCTGCGATGAGAGCTTTACTTGGTGCTGACTTTGGAGTTGAAGTGCCTGCAGCCTCCTGGCAGCCCCGCAGTGTGCTCAGCAGAAGCTGTTGGGTGTCTTGCAGTGGCCGGCAGCAGAGCACGAACGCTGTGCCCGCAGCCAGCAGCAGGTGGGAGCAGGGCAGATCTGTATGCAGAGCTATTGTGTGCGCACTGTTTGCCATTAATGTAATTAACTCGAGGCTTCCTCTGGAGAGAAGTTCTGCAGAGTGCCTGTGCTGGAGCAGTGTGCCCTGGTGGGGCACCCGCAGTTCTCTGGGATGGGTCACAGGACACGCAGTGCTGGCTGGGTGCTCAGGATCTCCTCCGACGTTTGTGTTGGGCTCTCCGCATGTCCTTTGTTTCCTCCTGGCTCCCTTCCTCTCTTTTTAAACGATACGGTACAACGCTGTGAATGACAAAATGATGTTGCATTCATTTTATCAGCGTTCTTACTGATAGGGCCAGAGAACAGGGCAGCTGTGTGGAAGGGCCCAAAGTTCCATTTCTCTGCGATGAACACAGACTGTAGGGAATGCACCCTTTTAAGTTCTTTTTCAGAGCTATAAAAAGAAAATGGAAATGTTTCCCTTTGGTATGTCTGCATCCTTTCCACTAAATGAGTGATTTCCTTTTTCTCTGTGCTGATGAGGAAGTTCTCTTCTGCAGGATCCTGCTTTGATGTCTCCAGAAAAGAAAAGTCGAATTAGCAAATCCACAGGAAAGCATTAGCATGGCATTGTTCGCCGTGTCTGCGAGGTGGGGATTAACCCTCTGACTTGATTCATGCCAGCTTCAAACAGACCCAGAGAATGGGAACGCAGCAGGCTTACCTCCGTGTCAGCTGCACCACCGGCGGGGTTTCCAGGCACCGCGCTGCCCGCTGTGACCGCAGCATTCCCATTGCTGCTGGTACCACGGTGCTGGCCCTGCTCCGTGCATGGAGCTCCCAGCCCGGGTGAGGACAGCACGGGAGGCCTCTGCCAGAGCTCTGTTTTTGTTTTCAACTCCCATTTGCACAGCAGAAGCCTTTACCTCGTTACCTCCGCTATAAGCAGTTCCCTTTGTGCCGTGTTACCCTGCTGTTGCCGTGTCGGGGGCTGTGTTTGTGTAACCAACGATTTCTGTGCCTATTGCTAGTGTCAGAGCAGTGCAGTAACAGGCTGAACGAGGGGAGACTGCAGCAGGAGGAGAACCAAGAAAAAATGAACCCCATTCCCAGGGCCCATGTGATCAGTGCACACTGCGCAGCGCCTGGCAGCAGCGGGACCTTCACTGCGTGGGGACGGAGCAGTGTGCTGCCAGTGCTGTGTGTGGGGATGGAGCAGTGTGCTGCCAGTGCTGTGTGTGGGGATGGAGCAGTGTGCTCCCGGCACCTGAGGAGAGCAGAGCTTGGGGTGCATGCCAAGCCTGTGCCCTTCAGCAGCGCAGTGCTGAGCTGCAGTCTCTAGGCTGCCAGCTGCAGGGCATGCTGCACTACTGAGTGCAGAGTGTGCAGGGTCAGCCCTCATTTCTGCACTCTGTGCTGCAATATTTAGAGCTTTGTTTCACCCCTCTCATGCATGAGACGTCAAAGAGATGCAGAGTCCCTTTCGGCAGAGCCCCAGGGCTGTAGTATGTGGGTGTTGTGGCTTTCAAGGTCTCTCTTCCATGTTTTCTGCTTCCCTGGGCAGGAACACTAGGGTGCTTGCAGCTCTCACACCGGCGTGCTCTGTGTTCCCGGCTGGGGCAGTGGAGAGCACACTGTGCTGCCAGGAGGGGTCGAGGTGCTGCACCGCACGGAGGGGAAATGGAAAATCTCAGCTCGGGGTGGCACAGCCTGGAGCTGAGTGTGGAGGTCACACCTGAATCACGCGGGGAATTCCCCGACACTCCCTTGCACAGCCGAGGAGCAGCCCTGGTTAGAGCATGTGCAGTGCTATCAACTGCAGCAGCAGTGCGTCAGGGTGGGGTGATGGAAAGTGGGGAGAGCCTGAAACCGGCCTGAAACCAGCCTGACGGGAAGCCGCTCCCACTCGGGAGGTGTGCGGCTGCGAAGCTCCGGTGATGCCTGCCTGCTGCACCAGGGGTTGCTGAGCTGCAGGAAGGCTGTGCCGGGAAACATTCCTCCCTAATAATGGAGATGTTCTCCTTCCTCCTGTTATGCAAACGCATCTGTGCGTGCTGTGCCTGCTCTCCTATGGACGCTGGTGTGGTTTGGCAGCACCGTAAGCCCTGTGCTGCTGGCCGCCCTGCGCTGCCTGTGGCCCAAATGCTGCCCGGTGGCGGTGTGAGTGGGGACAGCAGCTGAGGAGGCTGTGCCATGGACTGCTGCTGGGAGCTCGTGGCAGGAACTGCGTGTTGGTGTGGCCCAGTGGAGCGGTACTCCATTATGAATGCTGCAATTGAACCGTGCTCCCAATGAGAACATCAGGACAGCGGCACCACAGGGACACATCTGGGACCAGCGCTGGCTCCTCCCGCACATCCCGCAGCACTCCTGGTGGGAGGCCTCAGTGCCACATGGCTGGGACAAGTTTACTATCCAGTTCCAGCGTTTTTCATCCACACCGTGCTAAAACTTTACATTAGATCCAGCTAAATCTGTTACCTTGTCTCTGATTTAATCCAACGTCAGCCATGAGGGCTGTGCTTTGTGGTGATGCTGAACGCAGTGCTCAGGCCGGGCTGCTGCAGTGCCTGCAGGAAGCACCCGCACCCAGCAGTGCGCTGTGCCTGCAGGCAGCAGAGCACCACCAGCATCCCACAGCGCAGCTGCCAGCAGCGTGCTGAGCGGGCGCTTTTCCCAATTGCTGAGTGCTTCCACTGTCCGAAACCAGAGAAGTTAACATCGTGTTCAGGGAGAGAGGAAGCAAAGGAGATCCATGGGTCAGATGTGTTTGGTGTTTCAACATCTGGCAAAGGTTTGCGGAGTGGAATCTGTTGCGGAACCGTGCTGATGACTTCAAAAAGGTCTGCCCAAAATAGTAAAAACCGTGAATCACTCATGGAAGTCAGAAAGTGTTTTGTCATTCCATGCATTTAGGATAAGCCCTCAGCATCCTATTTGCATGCCGGCTCTTGTCCCAAGGCTTTGGGCTGGGCTTTCCACCTGGGGCTCACCCCTGGCACAGGAGGCTTCAAACTCACCTCCAAGACATCTGCACAAAGCAAAATGCAATTCCGATTCATCATGTATGGATGGATGGATGTTGATTCACCTGTGGGAAGGAGGAATGCCTGTATCTCCTTATTTGCATGACCCCTGCTCAGCACTGGGTTATGTTTCTAAAGAGCGAATTCAGTGCTGAGTCAGTGCCACATCCCTGCGGGTCTGAACTCCTCCATGGACGGGGACTCCCCGCCCCTGGGCAGCTGTGCCAATGCATCACCATTCTTTTGGAGAAGTAACCCAGGGCCAGTGTGGGAGCAGCAGAATGGGAGCTCAGCTCTCTGCAGCCTCCTGCAGCCTGGCACCGCTCTGCAGCACCCAGCAGCCCTGAGGAAAAGGCTCCACCTCCTGTGCTGGTTTCTGACACTCTGTCTCCTGTTACAGGTCCCCAGGAGCTCTCTGCTGGAGACAGGTGGAGCCCAGGCAGAGACAAGCAGGTCGGCTTTGTAGATGTCTTTGTAGCCCACTGACCTGGGCTGTGGCTGTGAATCCCACCTGAAATCCAGAAACTTCTCATTTCTTGGGTAAAAGCTCTTCTGTTACGAATGATCACCGCTGAGGGGAACCTCAGGCTGCCCTGCATTCCCCATTCTCCGATGCCATTATTGTACCATACAAGTGCCAAAGAGCAACTATTAATTATTGCTTTAGGAGAGGCATTAGGGAATGTGATTCCTGTCTTGCCTTTCAGGCTGAGGAATAATTGCTCTACCCAATATGCACTCCCCTGGGATTCTCCTGTGCGTTTCCATTAGCTGCAGCTGTAGGACAATCACCAGCTCCATGGGAGCTCCATTCCCCACCCGCTGTCACTGCAGGCACTCTGGCCTGGCCGTATGGGACCCAGAGGTCCCTCCTGTGGGACTGTGGTCATTTGTGCCATGGAAACATGAGCTCGTCCCACACAGCGCTGCGATGTGTCCTGCTGGGAAATTAATCAGAGGAAACGTGAAGGCAGTGACCTCAGTGTGCGACTCAGGATGAATCACAGCTACTGACAGAGGCGTCTCCATGCCACCGTGAGTTTGGCAGAAGCGAGTCCCTGTGCTCAGGGAAATGCAGAGGGACAGCCAGTGTGGCACAGAGCTGATCTCGGAGGTCTTTTCCAACCTGAAGGATTCTGTGATTCCAGTTAAGGTTTACGAAAAGCATTTTTTGTCATCCCCATAAAGTGCCTCAGCTGCACAGCGCACAGCACCCTGGCAATGGCTGTGTGCTCACTGCCTTACGAGGAGTTCTGTTGCCATTCAAGGTGCCGTTTCACAAAGCTGATTTCCACACTGAAAAATGCAAATTTCATTTCTTGTGGAAGACAGCTAATGAATGCTCCTCAGCAGTTACCCTCATTAATAGCTCCATAATTCTCTAATGAATATTTATGAGTGGTTAGCTGGAAGCAAGGTACCTTGGTGTTTACGGACAGATACTTTGTATAGATTGTGTTTGAAATTAAAATAATGGTAATTTTTTTGGTGAAGAGTGCAGTGAAACAGTGGAACAGAATGCAAATAGCCACAGGTGCAGCATTTCTTTTCATCGATGGCAGCTATGTGTTAATCAGAGGCTCTTGCCAGGAGAGGTGTGCTTGAGGTCTCTGGGTATCCCACATGCAGCCCACACAGCCCTGCAGCACGGTGTTCATAGGGCTATATCCTGTGTGTGTCTGACTGTGGCAATCTCCTTAGTAGTACTGCAGTCATATATCATAAGAGCTTTGATTCCCGTCTGCTTCTCTTCATATGTGCACAGACTGCAATGGTGGCTTCTGACCAATAGCAGGAAAAAAAAGCAAGGAAGCTTCATGTCCTGCTTGTGCACTGACACACGTGGCAAGCTGCAGCAGAGCACAACGCACACATCCCCGTGTCCAGCAGCACTGCACCGCGTCCCCGCTCTGTGCACAGCAGCAGCACAGTGCAGGAGCTGCTCGTCCCACTGCAGGTGTTGCCTGGCTGCTGTAGGGCTGCTCACGCTGTTGAGCTTCCTCGTAAATCAATAACTGCTTCACAGTCTGTTGTTAGAGAGGCAGCCATCATTCTTCGTATAACCAAACCTGTGAGGATAGCTCCAAAATGTGAAACACCAACAAAGAGAAGCCCACCCTGCCTCTCCTCCCTGTAGGACATACGTGCTGCCCAGGTGTTTGCAGAGATCAGAACTTTGTGCCACCCAAAGTTGAGATCCTGAGCCAGCGACTGGTGAGTGGGGTCTGGGCCAAAGGAAGAATCACTGTGCAGGGCTGCATTCGGCCTCTAGATGGACAGACTGAACTCCCAGCCTATGCAGTGGAAAGCTTCCCCCATCCACACTGAGTCAGGAAAAAGGAACAGCTATCACACTGCACTCCAGTTTTCTTGTTCCTTCTTATTTGAGTCCAAAGAAAGCAAATAGAGTGTTTGAGAAGAGAACCATCAAATACATGGAGTGCTGCTTGGTGAAAGGCAGCAAGGTAAGCGTGTCTGGGGAAGGCTTTAAGTTCTGTCTCTGGGTATTTCATAAAGTGGTATGAAAGCTTACTTGAGGGCCGTGGTGCCTTGCCGTGTGAGCCCAGAGGGTGGGAGGGAGCTGGGAGCAGGGGAGGGGGGAGCAAGCAGACAGCAGGTCCTGGGAGCTGATGGGGATGCCTGGGGGAGGACAGAGCCGTGCACAGCTGACACAAGGGGGTGTGGGGATGTGACACAGGGTACCTGGCACTGAGTGTGACATCATGTGGCACCTCTAGAGGGAGGCTGCAGATCATCTGCTACAGCACTTTGTCCAGAATGTTCTGGAATTGCCCGGGTATCAGAATACTTTATTTTTTACCCTTTGGGAATTGGCAATATAGCACCTTGTAAGTAAAAAGCCACTGTCTGCAAACAAGTGCTGCACAGTGTGTAGTCATTGCCTGGTATTAATCTCCATCATTGGATGTTCCCAATCAATACAAATTAAGTTTCCAAGAGGAGTTGATTAGCCAGAGTCCAGCAGTGCTTTCACTGCGTTTCGGATGGCGTTCGCTCTGGCAGCACAACCGGTTCCCTGCGGTGCTTTTCGCACACAGGATGTGGTGGAGAGTTGTGGGGCTGCTGCTCTCCAGACGCAGACAGCACACAGTGTAGTTTGTTACCTCCTGTTCAGCTCCTGTGTAGTCACCACTGTAGTCAGTAGCACCATTTCTCCCTGAAATTATTTCCACTGCAGGGGGCAGCTTTCTCTAAATTGTGCTTCTGAAATGGTATTTTGAAATGGAAGATTTAACATCAGTGTTTGAAATTTGAGACTTCAGAGTATCAGGATGGCTCCTGAGCTGGTTTTTGAGCTCAGGCCCTGTGAAGCTGCTCAGTGCCCCAGCTTCTCACCTGACTCTGCATAAATCAAATGCCAAATTAATAACATTTCCCACAGCAAATTCCATTGTCTCTCTGCATTAACTCTTTCCTTGCTACGTTGACGTCCAAGGCAGCTCAGCATGCACCAGTGAAGAAAATACCGTCAACTCTTCAGGGCAGGAGCAGGCACAGAGCAGAAGCAGGCAGGCAAGGGGGCTGATCCATGGGCACCCTGCATGCCCTATATCTCAGCACAAGGAGAGGTATTTTCTTTCTTTTCTTTCTTCTGAAGCATTTCAGAACGCACACGGGACTGCACTACAGGCTGACCTGTAGATCTGCAGCACAGCCCCAGTGGAGGGGAGCCCACCATCCCAGCCCCGCACCCAGTCCTTCGCGCCCTGAAATCCTCTGGCACTGGAGACCCACACCCAGGGGAGGCTGTGCAGTGGCGGTGGCTCTCACTGGGAAATATTTCCTCCTCGTGGCAAGAAGCAACTTTTGCTGGTGCCGTCTGTACCCGCTGCCATGTGCCCTCTCTGTGTGGCTCCTGCTGTCGGGACTCAAGAAGAGGAGTTCATTTGTGGCTTGGCTAATGTGCAGAGCACGCTCTGATTGGCTCTGCTCAATGCTGTGCTGCTGAGCTAACACTGCAAGAGGAACTTGATCCCTAGAATATTAGCAAGGTTATTAAAGTCAGCAGTGCAATGGGAAAATAGGGATTGCATTTTATGTGGACTGAGCTCACCTCAGCATTTTAGAAAAAGGTAAGGAATGGCATCTGCAGTTGCATTAGTTAAAATGATAATAACAACTCTGCCTCTTCCTGCTTTGGGTCAGTAGCTGCCCACTGAGCCTGAGCTGGGGATCCCTCACCTGAGGGATGAGTGGTACACTCTGTGATAAAGTCCCTGTAAAAGTGAGTTCATAATGGCCTGCAGCACTTGGCAGACAGCTGCATTGCATCTGCAGCTCAGCAGCTCTGGGCTGTGCAGGTGTCCCCTGCAGCCACTGCAGCACGGAGGTGACCCACGCCAGCATGCAGCCATTCTGCTGCCAAGTGGTCTTTGTCTGTCTGCTGGGTGTGCTTATTCCAGGGAACGGCTTCCTGTGCTGTGCAGACAGGAGGATTTCCTTGTGGAAGTGTCACCATAATAAACAGCTGCATAATATTTATGGTAGCTTTGTTGAGCCTTAACTCTTGTATGGCCTTTTTGACTTCTGACGGCTCAGTCAGGAGCTGATGCAGTGTCAGTGCCGGGCTGCAGCTGCTGCAGTGCTGAGGTGCCCCTGGCTGCACAGCTTCTGGCTGTGAAGTATCCCTTGCTGCTCAGCCCTTGGCTGCAAATCACAGAATCACAGAATTGTAGGGGCTGGAAGGGACCTCCAGAGATCATTGAGTCCAACCCCCCTGCAAAGCAGGCCCCAAACTGGGCCCTTAAACTAGGATGCCCAGTTGTGCCATGGCCCAGGTGCTGTGTTTCAGTGCAGACTTTTCCCTTCCAGGTGAGGCACTGCTCTGCTGAGGGCTGGGGCAGCCGTATGCCAGTGCGAGGAGGAAAAGGAGGAGGAGAGAAAAAGGAGAAGGAGGAGGAGAGAAAGAGGAACCTCCGTGACACAGATAAGCCCCAACGTCCCTGCCCAGCCCATGTGCCCTTCCCTGCTCCCACACCCCCTTGCCCAAGGCCAGGGCCAGTTTCATTCCATCCCAGTGGTGCTGCAGGATCCCATCACAGCCCTTGCCTTCCGCAGCTGTGCCTGACCCAACCCAGCAATGCCCGTGTCACAGGAGGCTGCTGCCAGGCACTGCCAGCAGCCACACCACCCAGGCACAGCAGGCAGTGCCCTGCCAAACCGTGGCCTTGCAGCCCCTGCCCTGTCCTCCATCAGCACAGCTCAGTGTGCCCAGGCTGGCTGTGCTGCTACCGTGATTGCTGCAATGGGCATCAAGGCGGGTGGGCTGCACTGTGGACAGTGGGCACTGGCTTTGCAATGCTGGACATTTGCCTGGTGAACCCACCTGCTCTAATTCTCTACACCTACTTCATGTTTCTGTAGTTTCCGTAGCTTTTTTTTTTTTTTTCACTGAAAGACTGAATTTATCTAAATATGTTTTTTGAGCCCCAGCAATGCATTTGTCATGGTTCATAGTATCACTGCGCAGTGTCAGTTCCTCTTCAGTACAAAGGAATCCCTCTGCATACCTTTTCTGTGTTGGCTTTCCCCGCTCTGCAGAACTAAAGCCCTTGGAGAATGTCAGAGAACGGCCTTGCTGCGTTGGAGACTGGCACAGCACGAGGCTCTGCACACGGAGGCCAGGTGGGCGACGTGGCTCCCTGGGTGCAGGACACTGAGGAAGCAGTAACCGATCTGCAAAGCTGCATCCTGGGCATCGTGCCGCCTCACAGCATGACACTGCGATGCATGGCCACCAACATCTGCTGGGGTGGGTGAGCACAGCTCCAGAGCTCCTCGTCCTCATCTCCTTCAAGTCTCAGACAGTGTTGCAGTGGGTGGATTCATTGACAGAACTGAGCCTTCTAACCAGACCCTGCCTGTTCCGTTCTGTTAATGGCCCTGGGACGTGAGCAGGGCAGGGGCTGAGTGTTAAGGAGCCCAGCTGTGAGGCTGTGTGTGCTGCCTACCATGAAGCTGCGCTGAGCAGTGCCAGGAGCACAGGAAACAGGCAGCTGTCGCCTGCCCAGCACGTACAGCACTGCCATCCCTGTGAGGGGTCAGGGTGCTGCACACCCCTCAGCTCCCCAGCACTTGCTGCTGCACTGCTCGCTGCACTGCAATAAATGCTTACTGCAGCAGTGCTAGGGCTGAAGTGCTGCTGTCTGTGCATCTTTCCTGCTAGAGAACAGATCTGAATGTGCTGACAAACTGGAAGGCCCTGGATGGGAGGATTCTGGCCTGTTTCCCAGCGAGTGGCTGAGTGCCCCCGTGCAGCTCCTGGGAGCAAACAGCCCGCTCACATCGCAGCTCACAGACGCCAGGTGTCAGCTCCCCTTACCGACAGCAACCATCACCGGATAAAAGATATCCGGCATTTCAGGGGTGCCTTCCTGAAGCGCGGGCTGGTGCTACCAGCACCTAACTCCAGCTCTCCCTGTGGCAAACTGCAGCTGCCTGAGGGTGAGGGCCCTCGCAGTGCAGCTCTCATGAGGACTTGGGGGTGCTTTGGAGAAAAAATCAGCAAACGGCTGTGTGTAAATAAGGGCTCTTTTCTCCTGCTGGATTCTGTGAAGAGAATCAGGGAATGACACCAGGCTGCTGGCTGTGTTTTCAAAGTGGTGCAAGGAACCCTGCTTTGCTACATTTTCTTTTAGTATTTCTTTTTAAGAGATCAGAAATCATGTAGGTGTGGTGAAGGACAGAGAATGGTTGGTAGAGGATTTCATCACTGGTGGGAAGATCTGCAGAGGAGGAAGTCACTTCGCTGAACTCCCTGCAGCGTTTGTCCTGCACGGCCAGCCCTCGGGACGAAAGCCCACGCCAGAATGTGCTGCCTCTGCGTTTTGGCACTGTAGGATGCTCGAGCTGTGACTGTCGTGAAATGCATTCCCACCTTTTTCAGTCCCAGCAGCCCCACCGCAGCCATGAGCTGGGCCCACTGACCGGCCCTGGTGCTGCGGGAGCTGCCAACAGCAGACACCTCCAGGATGAGCACGGCAAGTCGCAGGGATGTGGGCAGCCCCAGCCCCAGGTCAGATGAGGCCACCAGGCCAGCTGCCCGCAGCCTCAGCCTCTCCTCACCCAGTGACCCCCAGATCCCACACTGTGTTGTTCCCTTTGGGCCTGAACTTCTTGCTGCTTGTGTGCACATGGGTGAATCACAGCCAGGCAAACAAAGCCTGAGTCAATTTTGCTGCAACCTGGTGCACTGATGTGCTAATCATTGACCATTATAAATCCTTTTTTATGAGATTCCAAGCCATAACATTTCCCGCTCTAAAAACACACTAGGAAGGTGAGGAGCTCAAATGTAAGCGATCTTGTTTAATCTAGATTTCATGCTGCTAATTTCCAAGAAAACTACTTGCTGTGGATGTTAAACCATTAAGTTGCAGCTGCAGAATGAGAGCAGAAGAGAGCACTGAGAACCAGGTAACCCCAGTCCCGGGCAGCAACAGGAATTTAGTGGAGCTTTTTCAAAATAAACTGAAATTTTTCATGGCTGTTCCTGGGCATTAAACACAATCAAGATCAGAGCTGCAGCTGCTGTTGTGCAGCTGGTAATTGGGGTGGATTCCGAGGAAAAGCACCAGTTAAAAACTCACGGCATTTTAGGTGTGTCTGTGCTCTGGGATTATAACTCAGCATCATTCCAAGTCAGCGATGGGACCAGCACACACACACACCAGGAGCAGCACCCACACACACACCAGGAGCAGCACACACACACACACCAGGAGCAGCACACACACACACCGAGCAGCACACACACACACCGAGCAGCACACACACACACCACGAGCAGCACACACACACAACAGGAGCAGCACACACACACACAAACACACCAGGAGCTGCGCCCATCACTCCGCAGCACGCGGCAGCGCGCGGGCAGCAGCGGAGCTCCGCACTCCGCCCCGCTCTCGGGCGCCCCCTGCTGGCTATTAGGAGCCGCGCGCCGCGCAGCGCCCTCTGCCGGCGGAGCCGCGCCGTGTGGCGGAGGTGAGCGATTGCTCCGCAGAGCCGCGGGCGTGCGGTGCGTGACTCAGCGCTGCTGAGGTGCGGCGGCTCGCGCACCTGTTGGCTCCAAGGAGCTCTGGCCGGCGGTCTGGCGGTTACCGACCTGTGGCTCTCTAGAGGGATTGGGACTGACTGTTCTTCGGTGAGAAACCTGCCAGAAAGACGAACTTAAACTGAGGTGATGCGTGTTTTTACAAAGCGATCGTCCCTCCCTCTGGCAGCGCTCACGTGCAAACGTCTGCGTTGCATGGAAGAATCGCGCAGGGACTCCCGGGAGGAGCAGCTCGGTGGCACAAAGCACTGCAGCGATGCACTGCGCTGGGTGAGTGCAAACACGGCTCACTGTGCTGCGTTTTAATGACCCAGGACAAATACTGAAGATCTTTGAAAAGCGAGAACGATGTGTACACAAAGGAAAGACGTGCTGTTTGGACAGGCACTCCCTGACCTTTGCAGGCACTGCCAGGCCAGCTGGGCTCCCACAGCCACGGGGCCATGCGGGGTGCTGGGCCTGCAGCCAGGGCTGGGGCTGCAGGGGGTGGGGATGCTGGCAAGTTTGCCCCGTTATACACAGGTTGTAATTGCTGAGCTGAGTGGTGTGTAATTGCAGAGTGGTGGCGAAATTCAGCCCGGAAGTGCAGGGTTTCATTGGGCCTGCAGTGCGTGACCAGGTGGGCAGTCTCAGAAGTGCGTGTGCCGGCTGGGATGGCAGCGTGGCTTCAGCGTGACATCGCTGAGAGCTGAAGGAACACTGCTGAGAGTACAAAGAGAGTTTGCAAAGTGAGGAAATGGCTGATAGAATGGAGCACGATACTGTAAAGCAAGACAAAACATTTTATTTCTGGAGTTTGAATGTCAATGTACGTACTCAGAAGGAGGTGAGATCAAGCTGCTGTGACGCAAGGAAAATGAGGAAAAGTTCACTTTCTTTTTTTTTGCTCTGTGTGTTTACAGAGCTCACAAAAACCACTGCACCATCCTCAGTACCCCAGACATTTACCCGGACTGCTGCTGCCTCTTTAAGAGGAAGAATGAGCACAGCTTTAAATGATACTCTGCATTTCAGGACGGGGCCTGCGCTTTGCCCATCCCCACTCCAGCACATGCAGGCTCCTGCAGGTTTGGGAACTGTGCATCAGTTCATTGCTGTCGCAGTGTTGCAACACCTGAAGCCCTTCAGAAAGCAAAGCTCCCAGCCTTTGCTGCCTGTTTGGATACCTCCATCTCCAGCTGCTGGTGATGTGTTTCCTGTGGGCTGCTCAGACACCAGCTGCCTCTCGGTGTGAGGAGCTCTGTGCAGCTGGTGTGTGCCGCCAGACACGCAGCGGGTCGATGTGATGCTGGGGCACAGCAGCAGAACGCTGCTTTCCTCCCCTGCACAGTCAGCTCGAGAATGCTGAGGGCAGCAAATGTCCTTCTGCCTAAATACCCAGGAGCTGTTTTCAGTGAGGGGCAGAAGGTGAAGCTTTGGGCTCTGGCGGCATCCCAAGTGGTACCAGCCACTCTGCCAGCACTTCCCCCAGCACAGGGTGGCCCTGCAGAAGTGGCAGCACTCCATGTTGTGGAGGAAAGGTTGGCCTGAGGAGATCCGTCGGCAGCAATAGCACGTTCATCGCTCAGCAGGTTTTAATAACTGTAATCACTACTGGCACGTCGTGCTGAAGACTAATGAAGTCTCCATACACACACTGGGCATGAAGTGCTCCAGACCCAAGCACCGTGTGGGGATGCAGGGGCTGCCGACCTCTGCTCTGCTCCCACTGCTTTCCCCAAAGCACGGAGTGGCAGTGAGCAGCGTCAGTAAAATGCCGACATGGGAAGCGGTGGCTGCAGCTCTGCCTGCTGCTCAGTGCGTTTGCTGTGCAAAACTCCACCGAAGCTTCTGGAGGCTGCATGCAGTCCAGAGCAGTTTCTGCAACCAGAGGCAAAGCCGTATTTCGTGCCGCCTTGTCTTCAGCCACCAGTATTTGCTCAGCTCTGTGAAGCAGGCGCAGCAGCACACCTCTCAGGGGACTTCCTTGTTTTCCTCTCCATGCGTGAGTCTGGCCGCCTCAGGGCAGCACAGAGAATTAAAAATGGGCTTCTGCAGGAGGATGAGAGGCTGGGAGCCTGCTAATTATAGCTCTGTCCAGAAACCCACCTGCAGCCTAAAGGCAGATCACGCTGTGTGCCTGAGGACAGGCACCTCGTGCTCTACAGCCCCTGCTCCGCTCACACACCACAGCTCGGGTTCCAATAGGTGTCCAATAGGCTTTGGGGAAACAGAAATGTACTTCAGAACTTTGACAGCAGAGCAGTGAGCTTTAAATCCATGGCTGCTTGTGCTGCTGGGATTGCTGCTGGGAAGGAGGTTCACCCACTGCACGAGTCCATTCCTCCACCTGAATGGCACAGCAGTCCTTTTCTGCTCACTGCGATTTTGATTTTAAAAGCATAGAAGCAAATGCGTTGTCTTACATTCCTGTGACGCACGGAACTGCAGAGTGTTGATGAAATCCCGTGTCAGATGGAAACGAGAAACGTAGCCACATGCTTACATATGATTCTGTGTTATGAGGCTGGGACTCTGGCAGGATGTGTTCAGCTCTGATGACAGCTTTGTGTGCTCAGGGACTCCCGCTGAGTTCTCAGGAGCTCTGCAGCCCCGTGTGCAGCACTGCTGTGCCCAGCTGCCATCCTGCATGAGCATTTTTTTCCAGATTTAACTCTTCTTTATTGTGTGTAAACTAAAGTCCATTTCCACCCTCTCCAGTGGCCCTGCAGCTGGCAGCGTTACATCAGACACCTCCAGAACATCTTCTGTGGAAGCTGGTGTTAAGGGATGTTGGAAGCATCTCCTCTGCAGGAGCAGCATTTTTCATCCTTCGCTGTGCAGCACGTTGTGAGTCTTTGTGAGCCCATGCAGGCACAGGTGAATGGGATCCCTATTATACCACAAATAATGCAAAAGTTGTAAATGGTCCACGATATGAGCGTGCTGCACCACGCTGCTCAGGAAGGTCTGCCAGGAAGGTCTGCTTAAGCAGAGCTGTAATTTGTTGAAATAACACTGCCCATCAGAGACCAATATAGCAGGTTAACTGTAGCAGGAAGACTGGGATTCTGGCTGGCTGTGGAGCACGAACAGCCTGCCCACAGGTGGAAGCAGCCAGCATGTTCCTCAGTGCTTCTGCCAAACTAAATGAGCAGCAGTGGTGAGAAACACGATCTCCTCGGGGGAGGAGGCAGGAGATGTGCTCCTGTTGCTCAGCAGATTTGAAAGAGCAGCAGAGATCAATGCTGGCTCGTCTGTCACAGTGTACATCATTGCTTTCCCATGTTTCAAGGGCCTGGAGCTTTTTTGAGAGCTCTGCATAGGATGAAAATTTTCCCCATAGAAACAACTCAACCTCACATAAAACTATCCAGCATTGTCACGTTGGGTTTGGGACTCACAGAACCTGAGTTCAAGCATTTTGCCAACAACCCCCTCTGCAGTTTTAGGTTGCTCACTTATGCTGTTACCTGTTGCTCACCTATGGAGGTGCAGAAGGTGTGCCTCCAGCAGCAGGGAGGGTTGCTGCATGCAGTGGCTGTGAGCTGGGGGGTCGGGATGCATTCACAGTGCACTTCTGTAGCACGGTGCCAAAGCCCAACATCTGCTTCCCAGTGATTTTTTCCATTCGCAATTGAGTTATTTCTCATCTGTGACTGCAGAACTCGGGTGTTTACCAGCACCACGTGCTCAAAAAGACATGGATCTACATTTTTCAGATTCTTTCTGTGAAATATGACCCTGTTTCCAGACAGGATGCAGTGTTGGCAAAAGTGCAGATTTCTCACATGAGGAACAGAGCGTGCAGGTTTCAGGGCTGCCATGCTGCACTGAGGATCTGAAGCACCGCACACCAAGAGAGCTTTGCATGCTGCTGGGGAACAGGAACCACAGAGCCCATGGATAACCTGATCCCAAGTCAGGTAATGCCTCCTGGGGCAACACTTCCACAGCTGTGATGAGATATATATACAGCTTCATATATATGGCAGTGTAAGGTTCCACTGTCATTTATTGGCAAGTGCAAATAAATCTGTTTCTTTGGCCGCAGGAGCACACAGGGCAGCTGGAGAGGCTGTAAAATAACTCCTGTGCGGCCAGATCCCATGCAGTGAATTCTCACAGCCCACACAGAGCTGTTTCCCAGTGACTTCTGTGCAGCCACAGGCAGCCAACAAGTTGCTGCTCACCGCTGCACACTGCTATACACTGCTGCACACTACAGCATGATGCTGCACACTGCTGCGTGCCTCTGCTACACTGCTAAACACCACTGCATGCTGCTGCACACTGCTTCCAAACCAGGAACCAGCCGTGGAGCTCACATCACTGCTGCAAAGCCATGCTGGGCCATGGGTGCAGGACTGAGCCCCACAGACTGCGTTTCACTGACTCACACGGTAACGTTTTTCTCTTTAACATTTCCAGTAACATTGCAACACATTTCACAGAATGCTATTTAAGGTCATGCCCTTGGCAGTTTGGTACTAAAACCTCACAACTGTAATTTTCCACTACCAAGAGCAAAGCGATTCGGAAAGGCTGTGATGCAGGCAGGGAAAGGGTTGGGAGCACGCAGGTGCTTCCATGGGGGAAATGCCATTCCCAGCACACGGGAAGCACTCGGTGCCAGGCAGAACATGCTGGTACCTGAGCAGGGCACTGCCAGGGCACAGAGAA